ATGTAATGGTATGTGGGAATTAACTTGGGAGACAGGAGGAAGAGCCTGATATTAGCCCTTCGCAATAATCCAGACAAGAAACACAACTACAATCTTTATTGTAAGGTTACATTAACAGAATCTTGCAAGACTGAAAGTATTTCTCCCCTCCTTTCTTTTTACTCTCAATAAACCTAGGGAAGGTCCCTTCTGAAACACTTCCCACACCCCCTCTCCTTCTGTGGTCTGAGATAACTTGTACATGCTGGTTGTCCAATCTGTGGCTCTTCCTCCTGTCTCCCAAGGTCATTCCCACATACCATTACAGGAGATGATCCTTAACCAATATGACCATGATCACATTCCAGGAGCCTTTCTATTACTGAATGATCTGTGAGCCATAATGATGGTTGGACTACAGTCCATATTCAGTTCAAGAAGTCAGCCAAATTTTCACATTGCCTAAATGAATACATGTCTCTAAGTATAATTTAGTAGCTGTGGACCTCTCTTTGAAAAAAATACCACCTTCCACATTGTTTGCTTCTTTCATAGAGACCAACTTGTACATGTACTGATATAGAAATAGCTGTACATTTATAGCAATAAGAAGGTAAGATCCTGTCTGTATGATGTGGAAAGGTATATCACCATGCATATCATGGGTTGGCATCACTGGGCAATTGTCAAATTCTCTATTTGGCTAGGGTACACTGCAAATCCCTAGAGCACTCTTTCAGTTGGTTCACCTGCCTTTTCTGAACATGAAAGCGATGATTAGAATCAGGAGGAGCAGTAGGCTCCACATGCCCTCCCCCTTCTCTCTGGTGGGTACTGTTTGGGCAAAAAGCAGCAAGAATGATGTGGAGCTTGTTCCCAGGGACCAATATCAGAAGCTGGCACTGTTAGGCATTTCCCAAGGACCCAAGACTAGGAGGGGGTTCTCTGAGAAGACCTCACTTCTTCTTCACTATGATATTCTGCTAGCTCACCATTTGTGTCTATTGACTACTGAAAGAAAAAGGAGGATGTTCTTCTTAGCTACCTTCGTGCAAGCCAGAAATTAGTAGTAAGGAGGAGGGAAAGGAGAAAGCATCAATAGCTGGAAAATATACCTTCACTGATCAAAGGAGGAGTATAGAAAGTGCCTTGCCTAAGAAGAATGCGGCTGCTGGGCCTTTCTTGCAAATCCCGCCAGTCCTGGAGCCAACAGTGTTGTGAGGTCTGAATGCATTGGCTTGCCATGTGTGAACCTTGTTCAGCATCCAATTAGATTTTATAATATGACATTTTATTGATAAATAGCGACAATCAGAAATAGACTGTTTGAAAAACTCTGTCTTTTTTTCCCCTTTTTTTGGCAGATTCCTGTCTCAGTGACCCAGATAAGCTCAACTAATCATCCTGTTAAAGTGGGGCTGTCAGATGCATTCGTGGTTGTTCACAGGATCCAGCAAATTCCCAGTATGTCGTTAATACAGGCTAATGAATTAGCGTGAGCCAACATGATCCATGTGCAAGAGGAAAAGAGATTAAAAGAGTGTTTTAACTAAACAAAACTAGATGTTTTATTAGGTTCAGCTCGCTAATTTAAATGTAACTTTACTTGGCTTATAACTCCCACTGTGGCTCTACTTCAATGTTTGTCAGCTATTCAAAACATTCCTCAAGATATTCTGTTTCTGTTTGAAAAACAGCCATTTTGCAGGAATATTGGTTATTTCTACTGAAGGGACAACAAAGAACTTGGATAAAAGAATATCAAGTCATGTTTTTAGGACAGTCACTTATTCTGAAGAAAATTCCATGCAATGGCAATTCTACTGTTGTAGGATTTCATATATGCAATTTCTTTGTTCCACTAAGAAAGCTTAGAGGGAGATTAAATTTAACTATATTCATGTGCTCATACAATCATGATTGTTCATTGGTATGGGGGTTTTTTTCCTCTAAGAGTACATATAGAATAAATGGCACAGTATATCCTTTATTTTACTGTTAATACTAAAGACTCCTTTAAGTTGAGCTCAACCCCTGTGTCCTCAGGGACATGTCCATATCATTTTCTTAGCAACAGTATGGAATAGTTGCCTTCTGGTTTTGGGCTTTTTTGTTTTACTTTGCAATTTAACCTACAGCCCTGAAATTCTCTTATGATCTCCTCTCTAAGTACTAATGAGGCCCAGTCTCTCATCATTAAGAAATGCATTTCTCCATAGGTTAAGAACACTTAGATTATATCATCTTTGCAATAGTTCTTCAGTTTTATATTTAGTAATACAATTTGAACTTAGTCCCTTTCCCCAAGTTCTCCTTTTACTTTAGCACTATGGACCACCGTACCTGATAAATACTGGTGTCAAATTATGTTGGCATATTAACTTATAACATGAAATTTATCTCATCTGTGCTACAATTATACTACCGCAGTAAGGTGTGTTACACTTTAAATTCAGCCAAGGATACCTCTTTTTTTTCCACCTAGTCCAAAAGACAGATCACAGAGAGGAGTGAGAACACTCTTTGCGTTCATGATCCCACAATCCCCCAGAACGTTTAGCCGTCTGTTTGGCATTACCTACCCAGCATGCATGCTCCTAAAACCAAAATATACAATCTTGCTCTTGTCTTGCCTAATGCAAATTCAGCTCAGCAATAGCAATTCTAAAAATTCTGATGTCTAAGGGAGAGGCCAGGGCAGAGGAAATGGAAGGTAGGTAGTTTACAATCCCACAATTTCCTGATTGTGAAAATTAAACGCATTTCCTATTATATATGAGTGCTTTTATAAAGTGTGGGAAGCCAGTTGTTGGCTTTAGTTCCTTTGAGAGGTACAGTTCAAGAAAAGGTGCATTAATCATTATTTTTGGCAAAACAAACATATTTTTGTATGTCTATATACATACAGACACACAAACGTATTGTTCCCAATATAGTGCTCTTTTGATAAAATAAATCAAATTTCAGTTCAGAGATTTTATGTTAGTTTCTCATTAAGAAAATATATAATCTTGCTGGTTATATCTTTTCAAAAATAGTAAATGAACACCAAAAAAAAGCTTTACTAGCTTTTTGTTAGTTTTGCACTGTGCTGAAAGAATGTTGGCTACTATTAGTTCCTATCTGACCATTCTACTGGAGATAATGGAAATTGTAGCAGATTGGGGAAAGCCACCTTTGGCCTCAAAGCATTAATTGGTTGAATTCAGCATTGGGACAGTGCTTCTCCAGAAGCTGTGCCTTATTTTATTTTATTTTATTATTTTATTTTATTTTATTTATTTTGGTGAGTCTTCTAGTGTAATGGGAAAAATAAACCTAACAAACCAAATGGTGAGCGCACCCTCCCCCCCTCCATCTTTTGGGTATGAGCTGTCAGGTTCAGCCCAAAGAACTCCACGAGACAGTACCGATACAGGTCGATAGCATTTTTTAGCTTTCACCTACAAGACAGAATCTTGCCAGACTGAATCTAAACTTCCCAAGCCAGCAAGCAATCACTGCGAATTCCTTAGGGTGATGCCAGTCTCATCCTCTTCATCTTCCCACGCTCTTTCTGGGGGCTAAGGGAATGCTTATCTCCCCGAGCGCGGCCTTCACCAACCCATTCTATCACATGACCAAGGTCAAACCCAGCTCCTCTCTTTGCCTAATCCCATTAGACCCAAACTGACCATCCCTGCCCCAGACAAAGCCCCCTGCAATCCCATCTAAACCAAAGAATGGAAGCATCCTCACCCACGCACAGTGCAACCCAAGGGTAACCCTTACAAGGGAGTTGCAACCTAGAGTAACCCCAAGCTTCCATCTTATCAGCTGATGACCTCAACAGTCCATCTCCTTTAACAATGGGCTTCCTCAGCTCTGCTGCCCTCCTGAAAGGCCCACTTTGCCTAACAATAGAACTCACCCCAGGTACACTGACAAGGACCTCCCCTAATTTCCCCAACTGGCTAGCCAATCAAATCCTTAGGATTTCCCACCTTGCAGCCTTCAATTTCTATAAAAATCTTTGCTTTTCCGTTGTTCAGGATCCCTCTTCCTTGTAAAACAGGCACCCAAAGATCATTGCAATAAACATGGTTCTTCTTCTCAGTGTTGTGTTATACAGATGTCTGCAATACAAGGAAGGAATGATAGATTGGGTGTTGTATCCTGGGCAAGTTGTGCAACTGGAATGCAAGATGTTCACTCTAATCTCCACCAATTCTAGTCTCTCTCTGCAAGCACCTACAAAATATCCTTCATCATTTTCAGACAGGGATAGTCTACCTTGGCTTGCAGTCTGACTTCACACCAGGGATGGCAACAGATCTAGACTTTTCAAAAACTCAATAGCTAGCTAACAGCAGAAACTTCACAGGCTTGTTGTGGCTTGATAAGTAGCTTTACTGCAAACAAGAAAGAAGTAATGCATACGCAGAAGAGCTGCCTATTGCACATCTCAGAAATGAAGCCCAACACACACACACATGTATGTATGCCTCCCTGCCTGCCTGTTCCTATGCCATTTCCTCCCACCCTTCCAATTCAATGGACTTTTTGACTTTTTTCCCCAGCCTTGAGAGCCAGAGACATTTGTTCCAGTAACTCTGCCTGGCCTGAGATTGTTTCCTCCCATGCCTTGCCACTTCAGCCTTTATACTGGGAAAGGTTTCTACATGACCATCGGCATTTCTTGGGTTTTCCCCCATGATTGCCAGGCTCTCATTTAAACAACCTAATGGGGCAGCTATGAGGAAATGCTGCCATGTTGGAGAAGCTTGTTCCATAGCATGCTTTCCCTAATAAACAGTCATTTTCTCCAATGGCGCATAGACCCTGGCAGCCACTAATCACCCAACTAAACAATGATTGTTCTGGGATATGGAGCAATAATGTTTTTATTTTTTTTTATTTATTTATTCAATTTATATAGCCGCCAATCTCAGACTAGTTTACTGGTAAGGTATCAATCAAGCAAAGTACAAGCTGCCAGAGAAGGAGGAGGTTGGGAAGCATGATAGCACACTCACAGCTTGATCATCAGCTGTGTGATAAGCTGCTAGGCTGTGATATCTCTCCTGTGTGTGTGTGTGTGTTTGGGAAGAAGCATCTTCCCATGAACCTTGCCATTTTATATGTGTAATGTATCTGTGAGAGATGCAGAGCTTAAAGGCACTGGGCTAGAAATCGGGAGACCATGAGTTCTAGTCCCGCCTTGGGAATGGAGCCAGCTGGGTGATTTTGGGCCAGTCAAACACTCAGCCCTAGGAAGAGGGCAGTGGCAAACTTAAATAAATTCTTGGCTTGAGGGCCAAACCTGTACTGTTGCACCTTCAGAAATTGTCCTGCTATGCTTTTGTTATAGATACTGTTTTCTATCGGGATGATACACGTCCTCATGAGCATAGTTCAAACTGGTATGCATATTAGGAATTTCAATTTTGAGCAAAAATACATAAAAACTTTATTACAAGAATGATCCCTTTCTCTTCTGCATTACAAGAAGGTTGATCCTTTTGCATCATAACTCATTGTAAGACACATTGAGATAGTGTATATATTCCTGAAGCTATCTTACTAAAAATAAATGTAAGCATTTGTTTGCTTTCAAAGTTCTTCACAAGTGGTGGTCTTTTCATATCTTCACCCAAAGGAGAGCTATCCCATAGAAAGAACCACTGACCAAAATAACATTTATTTATTCCACTACTTTTGAGTCAAATGTTTTAAGCAGCCAGTGCTTGGCAGAGTAAATGGGGGGGGGAAGGGGGGGGGGATGATGATGATATAGTATTATAATTTATGTCAGAATGACAACTGACTGTTGAACAGGGTGGGTTGGGGGGGACACCAAAGCAAAGTTCTATGTTGCTCAGTGCAAAAGAACTAGAACTAAAAAGTGAATTAGTTTTATTCTAGTCTTGCTACCATTTCCACCAACCTGTGTAAATGAGAACCACATTGGATTTTGTTAAATAAAAGGAAATTCTAGAGTGTAGGTTGTCATGTCAGTTGTTTATTGATATATTGACTTCTGGATAATGACATAGGATAACAATGCAAGCATTCATTATCTCATGCAATATCAATTCTGTGTTGCTGTCCCTTGAAATGGCCTCTTTTAGTACAGGCGATTGATCTCAGTCTGAAAGTAAACCTGGAAGCAATTCTTATTTGCCAGAATAGAAGTTACAGGAGAGCAATTCTGATCTGTTCCTGAGAATGTGAGACTAGGACTAGGTTGACCCAAGTTCAAAATAATGCTCTCAGGTTTATGGTGGGGGTCAAATGTGGGAGAAACATTTATTGTGAAATCATGTTAACTGTTCTGAGCTTCTTGGAGGAAGAATGGGACCAAAATCAAGTACAGGTAGTCCTCACTTAACAACTGCCCTGTTTAGTGACCATTCAAAGTTATGATGGCACTGAAAAAGTAATTTTACAACCAGTCCTCGCACTTATGACCATTGTAGTGTCCCCACAATCAAGTGATCAAGATTCGGGTGCTTTGCAGTTGGTGGGCATTTATGACCGTTGCAGCATCCCACAGTTGCACGATTGCCATTTGTGCATGTCACAGCGGCAGAGTTCCCAGTCACAATTGTAGTTTTTAAGCAAGGATTACCTGTACATAATGAAATATGGCCAGCTTCTAGAATAGTGATCCTCAGTGTCTGGAAGGAAGATGTGGCAATATGTTCAGGCAAGCAGACAGTAGTGTTTCTTGTACTTAAAAAAACTATGAAAACAGTTCCTACACTCGCAAAACCCTCTACGTCCAGAATAATAGAGAAAAGCTCTGGTTCTTACCTTATTTCTTAGGCATGTATTAGGAGGATGTAGCTTAGGGACAAACTCAAAAATTGTTATGTTTAATTTCCCATCATGGGTGAGCATGCTGTCTTCCAGCTAATTCAGTTGTTGTTTAGTTTAGGGCCAGCTCTTGTAAACCCCACTAGTGAAAGCATTATCTCTGCTCCCCACTCTGTTTGTCTCAGGGTTAACAGCCTATTATATGAAAACATAACCATTACCAGGCCAATCTGAATGTACAACTAAAAAGCTTCTGGACTAAATTTCTACCCAGGAATGTCTGGTAGCTGTTTGGAGCTTCAAAAGCACAAGGCAGGAACAAGTGGACAGAGACTATGCTAATTTGGGCTGGATTGGAACAGCTTTCTTGCCAAAAGGGGAAGACATATTCTCCCCCAGTGACTTGTCCATACAGTGCGTTTGCCAAGTTGAGGCAGTGAAGAGTTGTATTTTGAGTGAACTCTTGCCAGTTCCAGAAGCCAGAAGCCCAGACTGAAGAAGAAGTTGGTCCTTTGGTCCAAAAAAGCAAACAAATGAACCATAAACAAAAGTGATGGCATTGTCACTTTGGCTGAACCTTTCAGTGTTAAGAAATTAGGAAAGGTAAACAGAGGGTGCGCTGGTTAGCTATAAGCTGCTGAATTCTAAATTTGCTCAAAAGCAAGATGCAAGAAGTATTTTAAGAGGGTATAGATAGCCCCTGTGTGATGAACCCCTGGTTTAGTTTAGCAAAACAAAACTCCTTCATTGACCAAGTTGGAACAAGGCAGAGTAGTGAGAAGTTAGCAGATTTCAGTTCATAAGTAGCTCTCAGCTTTTTCATGCAGCCTTGGGCTAATTTCAGAAGTCTTTGTAAAAGATAAATGGAGTAATCTGAAAACTGATTTGTATCCCTTCCCTGTCTTGAGAAAGATGGAGCATATCAGAAAGAGAAAATAGGGGATATCAGAAAGACAGCAAGTATCCCCAGGGCATTTTAGGGCCTGTTTGCTTCAGTCCCAGCAATCACAAGGCCCCCAAACTTTTCCTGCAACCTATAATAGAAAAAAGATTCCTGAAAATAAGTCCCATTGTAATGTGTATTGGAATGATTTTTGTCTAGACATGGATAAGATTGTGCTATGAAATATCTTTTGGGACATTGTCTCCCCTTCCCTGCTACTACATCTTATTTGAGGAAGAAAATTCATAAGGAGCTGTGTTAACTAAAGGAACTTTAGTCATTTTATTATCCTTGTAATTTAAGGAGAGTAACCAGTTGCATATATATACAAATATACATACATACATACATACATACATACATACATACATACATACTGACAAATTTGTAAGGGTTGGGAGAAGATAATCAAGTCTAACCACCTGCCCAGTGCAGGAATCCATTACTAAGCATGTCAGATCCCACCTCGGTTTAAACACTTCCAGTGAAGGAGAGTTCATCACTTTGAAGACAGCTATTATGTCTCATCTGGGCTAAATACACTCAGTGCTTCAAACTGTTCCTCATAAGTGCCCCACCCCCAGCACAGATCCCTTATCAACTCAGTTGCTCTATTCTGGATACACTCAAGTTTATCAATATCCTTCCTAAAATGCAGAGTCCAGAGCTGGATACAATATACTAAGTTGTGGTCTGAACAGAATAGAATAAACAGAACCCTGACTTGACTTGATCCTGATACAGTACTTCTCTTGATACAGCCTAGGATTGTATTTGCATTTGCATTCGCTTTTTTCTTTCTTTTTTGGGGGGGGGGTGGCTACATCATGGTATTGACTCTTGCTCAGTTTATAATCAACCAAGACACCCAAATCCTCTTCCCTTGTACCCCTCCCCCCATTCTATACTTGTGCCTTTCTTTTTTTCTGCCTGAATATAGGATTTCACATGATCTCTATTGAAATTCATCTTATTGTGTCTGCCCATTGTTCCAGCTTGTCAAGATCCTTGTGAATCTTGATAGTGTATTCTAAGATACTTGATCGTCTCCTATCTTTGTGTCATCCGCAAATTTGGTAGTAATATTTACTAGCCCCTCATCTAAGTCATTTATAAATATATTGAACAACACAAAGCCTCAAACAGAGTGCTGTGATATAGCACCAGACACTTCCGTCTTGCTTGATGTGAATCCACTGATGTATACTTGTTGGATTTTGATTATTTAACCAGCTCTGTATTTATCTAATAGTAGCAAGGTCCATTCCAACCCATATTTTGCAATCTTCTCTAGCAGAATCTTATGGGAAACTATCAGATGCTTTAATTAAGTTAAGATGCACTATATCTACCACATACTGCAGTCAACTAACTGGTCACTGTATTAATAAAGGAGATCAGGTTGATCTGGCATTACTTATTCCCAATAAACTCATACTGGCTTCTATAATGCAATACGTTATTTTCTAATTGACTGCTTAATAATTTATTCTAGAGTTTTGCCCAGTTCGGATGTCAAGTTGAGTAATCTGTAGTTACCTGGAACCTCTTTTCTTCCCTTTTTGGAAAATAGGAACATTTGCCCTCCTCCTGCTGTCTGCTGGCCATGTATGGCTTTGCAATGAATATTTTGTTTGGAGGGGTATACTAATTTAAACTGTGACCCTATCCAAGCTTACTTTCAATGAAAAGGAGGGAAATGGTCCAGCCTGTATGAAAACCATTAATGTTTTTCAGATTAAATGTATTTGACACATGAGTGACTAACAGTACCTATCTGGTCTTTTCTTGATAATAGAAATGTTTTATTTCAATAAAGTTCCATTTAAATTACATATCTCAGTGCTAATGTTTCTTTTCTTACAGATGTTCGTAGAAGAACAATATATGAATATCACAGAGTGGAACTTCAGATGTCAAAGGTCACCAATCTGTCAGCTGTTGAGATGATTCCTCTGCCCAGTAAGTTATATCTAATAAGCAGATGAAATACTACATTCTTAAAGGCTGGTTTTAAAATATGCCTCTTTTCTTTTGTAGTATTTGTAGTATTACAAAGAGATATTTTTACACTGTTGGCAGATAGAGGAAAATTACTTATATCTGTTGATGTCTAAGCCAGCATAACAGTACAGTGGTAGATATACTGTACTAATGTCACTTTCATTCTTGTGCTCTGCCTTGGTCAGTCCCATGTCAGCATTATGTAGGTACTAATCTTTATGCATATACGTTATTCTTGTACATAAACCTATTTCTTATCTGGCCATTTCTCAGTCATTTGTTTCTTCTTCCACATGTGTGTGTGTGTGCAAGTGTGACTGTCTATAAATTGACTAGGTTCACATTTTGTGATAAACTACAGTCTTGTAAAATATTATTTTTTAATAAGCCACATTAGGCTGATTTGCACATTACATTAAGCTGTGGTTGGCAAACCACTGTGATTAGGTTCAGAAAACATGCTAAGTGAAAGCTAAACATAACACATTGTGATGTGTGAATCCAGTTATACTTTAATATTTGAAGCAATAGTATATATGTTGATTTTTGTTTGTATACCATCTTTCTGCAACCTGGCACCCTCAAGATACATTAGCAATTAGCTGAGTACAGGAGTATGAGCATTAATTTCCACTACTTCTTTAGAGCACATCAGGTTGGAGGCAGCTGTGATATACTGTACCATGTCTAGGTATCCTACTTTGTCTGGTTTTGTTTGGAGATGACATGGAATGATCAATAGAGTGCTGGCCTTAAATTAGATGTACAAAAGTTCGTTACGCCAACACTTTGATAAAGCTCATGATAAACTTTAATCCTGGATAAACTTTAATCTTGGATAAACTTTAGATAAAGTTTAATCTTGGATGAACTTCACCTGTCTCACAGGGTAAGCTCCATTTACCTCACTGGACCTCCTCTATTATGATGATAGCAACTGAAGCTTCTTAAACGATTGTTCCACTAACTTCCCTGGATTTTATATCCATTCAGTTCTTCTCAGCAGCTACTGTATGTTCATAGGGGTGGGGAGGGGGCTAACAATGATAAAAACAATGTCACAATGCAAGCCTTGCCCCTTTTGTACATGTGTTGTGACAGCACATGCACATCCCAAAGGGTCATAGCTGACAGTGTGATGCTGTTTTCATCATTTTGACAAAAGCAGCAGGAGCTTGTAGATACCCATGCATCTCAGATGAGAAGTAGCCATGGAATTACAGAGGAATGCTAGACTCTTTGAGATAGAATGAGGGCCTTTGGAAGAATTACTGTCCATAAAAGAGAGGCAAGGCTTGGTTCAGATGTCAAAGCCTTCAGCATTATATCAGTACTCTGGTCCTCGCAATTGTTAAAGTGTAATTTGCAACAGAACTGTGGATAGCATCTGGCTGATCCTTTCTCCCATCTATTCTCTTGGTATTTCCACTGTTTACTTGCCTTTAACAGCTTTATTGTAGGCTGTTATACTTGATTGATTGGCATAACTTCTATATTTGTTACCCTGTGTCTTGACCTTGGTGTCTGATCTATATTGAGTAGATTTTATCTCCTTCACCAATCAGAATGGGTGGTAGTGCTTAGAATTCTGAGACAATTGTTGAGGATTCTTGGAGTAGGTACTGATACCCATCTGCCTGCCCTGCCCATATCACTAATATATACCTATGTGTGACACTTAGATATTTCAAATTTCTTACACTGACCTGGAACAAAGCTGTATCAAAGAACTGTGTGAAAGGCAAAATGTTGAGAAGGTTGTAGATGCACATAGCAGATCATAGTATCTCTGTCAGCAGTTGGCCATCCATTAGGGATGTTGATGTTAGAAGGGTTTTTGTAAGTTACCCAATGTAGCTATGCATGCATGTATGATAATCATGACATAGACCAGAACAAATGTGAGAACCATAGCTGACCTGCCTAGCCAGATCATTGATTGATCACTGAAGATTGGTCATTGTATCAATTATGTTTTTCACTGTCTGGAGATTGCATATTTACACAATCTTATGCTCTTAGGTCCTTAATCCTTTATGAATGTCTCATGAACTAACCAGCTTACTTTTCATGATTTTTCTCCAAAATAAATAAAGTCAAATGCTTGCTTTGCTGCTTGTCCATTTCTGTTGTTGTTGTTTTCATTTTTAAAAAATAAGGCTTGGAATGTAAATTGCCCACAGCCCATCTGAAGAAACTGGACTCAGCAGCTGAACTGTTTTTAATCCAGTTATGGCTCATTCACAGTTTCCTAACCTTTTTATTATGTCCATCTGCCAAAAACATTAACTATGCTATCAAAGGTGAACAGACATAAGGGGACACTTAAGGAAAACACTGAATGCCTTCATAGCAGAAAGGCAGATTTAGGAGCCATACAAGACATGACAATCTGTAGGAAGGCATTACAATTACAAATGGGATCAAAATTAACTGTGGAAGATCAGTCTTTAATATGTTCATATATCTCCATAATGTGTTCTGGAGGTGACAAATTATTGTCTTCCAATCATTTTTCATTTATTTTGATGAGAATAAATTCTTGAAAAGTTGATTGTAGGAAGTGTTGTTAAGATGAACAATTTATTTTTATGTGCTTGTGCCTGTGTATGTGTACATACATTTTATTTTATTTTATTTTATTTGTTTTTACAGCTTGTATTCAGTTTAATAGCTGTGAACCCTGTATCATGTCTCAGATTGGCTTCAACTGCAGCTGGTGCAATAAACTCCAAAGGTAAGAAAGCTTGTTAACCTTGGTCTTTGGTACACAATGGCCTTGATAATGAATCAATTTTTCCTTTCACCATGGTTGGTATGGTTCTTCCGGGCTGTGTAGCTGTGTTCTGGAAGTTTTGTTTCCTAATGTTTCACCAGCAAGTGTGACCGGCATCTTCAGAGGGCAGGAGCACAGACAGGAGCAGTTCTCTCTGTGCCCAGGATGATGTGACCCAGTTGTGGGTATTTATAGAGATCAGCGAGGGTGCCTGAAGGGGGTGGGGTTTGGGTTAACGAGTGGCTGCTTGTTTTGGTGTCAAAAACAAAGATATGTGTGTATCTTCCTGGGGGTTAGGCAGGGTTTTTCTATTGAGTTGTTAACAAGTGGCTGCTGAGGGTGATTAGCATGTTCATTGTATGAATTGTTCATGCGTCCTGGTGGTTGAGCTAAGTTCGTTGGTTGGTCATGCGTCCTGGTGGCTGAGCTGAGTT